GAAAATCATTAAACCCACCTAAATTCACCTCTGCCTACAGTACTTGCCTCTGCATTTGGGTCCTCAAACCAACACCAAATCCTGACAGTCATTCTGCACATCTCTGATGTTGCTGCTATTTTCATATATCCATTACTGGAAAAATGTCCATAGCTGCATATTGCTTATATCCTTAAAAAACCTGGTTGGAACTGGATCTAACATCCAAGTTGAAGGCTTAGATGAAGACAATAGTTTTGCTAACTCTGAAAGTTCAACTGGATCAAAGCAGTCTAAACCCGGTTCAGATTCCATGACTACCTCAGATGCCGCCTCACCCTCCAGAGACAAATCAATCCTTATAGAGGAGTGCTAATGATCTTATTTTTAATAAGATCAGTCTTAATTATAAAGAATCCTAGAAAATCACTACTGCTAAGAGTAGGTGGAATGGACGGTTCAACTAAGCTATGGCTCAGGGTGAGTTTGGCAACTGTATTAAAAAGAAATCTAGGATTATTCTTACTCTCCTCTATTAATGAGGAGAAGTATGCTGCTATTTTTTAACGGTTTTCATTTTCAGAGGAGCAGCGTTGTCTAAGGCAATACGCAGAGAACTAGCAACCCCATCAACAAAATCATCAACCTGTGAGGGGGAATAAGCTATGCTTTTGCACTCTGCAGCACTGCTCAGCGACACAGAGGAGAGAGAAAGTGAAGCAGATTCTTTAAAATGTATAACTGCACTATCTGATTGTTAGGTTTATTCAATGATGATTATAAAGTTAATGTGTGCGCATATGAAACTGATTGAGGAAATGAGATGCTTTACATGTTTACTGCAAACTGTCATGCAACAGTGGTGGAAAATTACTGATGTTTGTGCAAGGCTAATCACAGTTATCAGAAGACCACGCTGCTCTGTGATTCAATCAGAGGAGCATTCTGTCCTATGACCTGATCAATTGCCTTGTCAGAAGAACACTCTGTTTTGTAACCCACCCCATGTGTTATGATCTGCTAATAAAAAGGCTCTGCAGAGGAAGTCTGTCAGAGAGTAGTGAGTTGGGTTTAACTCTCTCCTTCTGAAGAGGCTGTTAAAAATCCCTTTTCTGTGTGGACTCAGTTCCTCTTTTACGAACCTACATTTTTTAAACTAACACTGATAATGACCTACTAAAATTGAACCTTCTTTTGGGGGATGAGAACTCTGTTAAAGTAATCCTGAAGGTTATTAGAAAGTGGTCAGAGAGGACAGGGTTGTGAGGAAATACTGTTATTTCTTCACATTCTATGCCGTATGTCAGCACAAGATCCAAAGTATGAAGATGAGAATGTGTGGGACTATTCACATTTTGAACAAAGCCAATAGTGTCTAAGATAGCATTAAAGGCTGCTCTTAAGCTAGCGCCTTCAATGTCAGCATGGATGTTAAAATCTCCCACTATGATGACCCTGTCAGTATTTAATACCAAATCAGAAAGGAACTCTGAAAACTCATCTAAACATTCAGAGTAAGGACCTGGTGGACGATACAAAGTTACAAAAAGAAGAGGTTTTCTTGCTCTGCAATTTGGATGAGGGAAATTAAGGGTTAAATGTTCAAAAGAGTTGTAGGTATTAACTGTTTTGGGAGTAATCAGTAAGTCAGACTGGAAGATTGTTGCTACTCCTCCTCCTCGCCCAGAACTTCTGGGGATGTGAAAATTTAAATAGCTTGAAGGAGTTGCCTCATTTATGGTCACATAATCCTCTTGCTGCAGCCAGGTTTCTGTAAGGCAACATAAGTCAATAGCTACGTTTACATGGACACAAATAATCAGATTGAAGGCCTGATCAGATCAAAAATGTTTCATGTAAACATGTCAGACTTAAGATTCTAATCCGATTCGGTCCGATCGGAAATAAATTGAATTCCGAAAGAGAGAGGTGGTTTTTGCCGATCGCCATTCTGATTGGCGTCCATGTAAACACCCATTTGGATCTAAAGAGTAAAATAATCTTCACTGCGCATGTGTGCGACGTCAGCGTGACGTTTTTCCGCCTTGTCAACAACAGGAAACCACCGGTCGCTCTCGCTCTAGGAACGCCGACTTATACACTCAAGTTCATTTAAAGCTGCAGGAAGCAGGAATTTATCCTCCTCCTCTTCCTCTTTTCTCTCTCCACAGCCCACTCACTCTCCCACACCGGTTCAATCGCTCATTCTCTACATTTTCTCTCGGACATTTCGCTGCCAAGCGCTTTTTTCCTCCTCTCTCCGTTTTTCTTTCCGCTCGCTCCGAGCGCATCGTTTGTCAGGCCTCCCAAAAACCAGACGCAGACAGAACTGACAAGTTTGGCAGGAAGTTCTGCGCATGCTTAAAAGATTTAATCTGATCCAACGCTTGGTACATGTATACACACGTCATGATCGGATCATTTCATTTAGTGTCCATGTAAACGGAGATTTTGAATTTCCTATCAACCAAGGTTTGGATCGGATCGGGGAAATTTTGCGCATGTAAATGTAGCTAATGTGATTATCACAAATCAAGTCATTAACTAGCAGACTTTTAGAGGAAAGAGATCTTATGTTAAACAGACCACATTTAATCATTTTAACTTTTCCCCCAATTGGAGTTATTTTAATTAGATTATCATGATTTATTCCTTTGGGAATATTTGATAATTTATTAGATTTTGTGCGTGGTTAACACACTGTCTGGATGGAGTAAAGAGTGGGTAACAGTAGAGAAGCTGCAGAGATGTGTGTTAAACTACAACTCTGCTTCCTGGTCTGCACCCTGGGGGGTCAGGGTTTTGGAGGACTAATAAATGTGGCCAGATTCCTAGAAAGAAGAGCTGCACCATCCAAAGTGGGATGGATGCCGTCTCTCCGAATCAGACCAGGCTTTCCCCAAAAGGATTGCCAATTATTAATGTAGCCCACGTTGTTTTCAGGACACCACCTAGACAACCAGCGGTTGAATGACGACATGCGGCTAAACATGTCATCACTGGTCAGATCAGGGAGGGGACCAGAGAAAATTACAGAGTCCCACATTATTTTGGCAAACTTACACACCGAAGCAACACTAATTTTAATGACCTCCGATCGGCGTAACCGGGTGTCATTACCACCAGCGTGAATAACAAGACCCCCTCTGGCTCTTGGCTTTGAATAGAAATCCTTTCCATAAAGTTTATGAACAGGACCAGTGAAGGCAGCCCTGCTGGAGTCCAACATGCAATGGGATCAGGTCTGACTTAATGCCGGTAATGCTGACCAGACTCCTGCTCCCATAGTACAGAGACTGGATGGCCCATAGAAAGAATTCCCAGACTCTACTCCCACTGGGCACCACGAGTGACAATGTCTTCTGCATGTTTACAAAACACATGTGGTATTGTTGGGCAAACTCCCATTATACCTGAGCAACCTATAGAGACTGCAAAGCTGCTCCAATGATCCACGGCTGAGGTGAAAACCACACTGCTCCTCCTGAAGCCAAGGTTTGACAGTCAGCTGGACTCTACAGTACCCTACAGTTGGTCACCCCCTCTGTGTTCTGGAGACGGTGACTTCTCCTGCAGAGGTGCCACCACCTGAGTCTGGCTATCCAGGGCTACTTTCCCCAACCTCCAAATTATGTTGAAGAGGCATGTTAGCCAAGACAGCCAGACAACTCCTTGAGCCCTAATGTACGGCTGAAGATCAAATGTCAATAACGTAAGCAAGAACGATTCGCCCATAACGACACATCTCTGCAAAAGAGATTACTTACGCAGCCGACTCTCATTCAGCTCTCTATTTCCTGTTGCTTTCTGGCCTTGATAGAGGAGACTATGTCGGTTTCCAGCTGAAGCTACATATGTAGCCACCAGATCCCCTCCAGAGAAGAGTCTGTGCTTGCTGGCCGATTCAGACTACACTGCCTACGATTCAGAAAGTGCTGAATGTAGTGTGTTGTTTTTCCTGCGCTTCAAACCAAATTGAACGCATTGTTTTGTGAATATGCCTGCTGAAGCAGATGAGAAAATTGTCCAGTTGTGGTCGCCCCACGTTTGCTGGCCACGGAAGAGCCGGGCCAAATTGCTGATTGCCAATGAGCCGCTAGAAGCCGCTGATCCGTGCAACACTGGTTCTGCCACTGAGAAACGGCCGAAGCCTTTGGTCCGGCTGCTGTTTGGAACTGTGATGTCGCCGTCTGAGCCGCTGCTACAAGCTACCTACCGCCGTTTAAAGGGGACGCCCTTTTCAAGGTGCTCTAAGTGACCAAATCAAGCCCTGCAGATCGGCATCTTTTGTTTGCATCAGAATAACTCAAATTTCTCAGAGAGCTGCCTGTTGGATGAACAGACTGTTTTCTGAACTGAACCAAGCTGAACTCCCAGACTGAATCAAACCCCGCCCCCTCCATTCCACTTAGCCAACAAGTAAACCTCTTTTCCAGTCTGTTCATCTGACGCTCAATCAATACGCTGCTTAGGTGAGAAATTGGTAGATATTCTTACATGTGTTGTTTGTGTTTTATCTGAAAGAAGTTGTCTGATTCAACTGCTGATGGTTCTTAAGAGTTCTAAACTGAATGCTAATGCTCACTGAGCCTGACTGAACCATCCATGCTGTGTTACTGTCTGCTATATTCCTCTTTTTCCATTTATTTGAAGACTTACGTTACTGTGATTGGATTGGCTGATGTCGTTAGTTCCAAGATACCTCAGTGCCGGTGTTCTGTCAGACGGTTATACCCGGTCAGACTAGCATACCCATAGTCAATACCCGTTTATCCCTTCAGTTTATCCCTTTAGCTTAAAATACACAGATGTAAACAGGTCTGCTTCCAGAAAACCATTTCAAACCTCATTGACTGGATGATCTGGTGAACTGTAAAGTGTCTTTTTAATCGGCGACATAGAAATAAACTGAATTAAAGTGAATCATGGTGCAAGTTAGACACTAAGTAGCAGAGACACTGAGTTGTTGCATTTCACTCATATCCTCAACATGCTCACCAGAAATGAAATAATGTGCATGATTCATTTGTTAGACTTCATTGATTTATTATCAGACATATAAAAGGCATTTTCAGTGTTAAACCTTAGAATAGTAATAGAATTAAGGGCACAAGTGCTGGAATTCATCACCTAAAAACAGAACCAACCAGGGCTGGTTGGACACTCCTGTTTCAAGTTCTGCATTATCTGTCCTATTTATAAAAACAAAATGTCCATTTTATCATCACTAACATTCACATAAAAATCAGCAATTCATCCATTGTATAAAATATATGCATAAAAAACTATTTCAAAGCAAATACAAAAAGGTTTGTCAGTATGCAAAGAAGAAGGCATCTCATCTGGACCGTCCAAAGACTGCAGATTATTAACAGCCATATGGGTTCTTGGAGCAAATGAAGGGCCTTGTAGTGGAACACGCAGAATTTCTCCAGCCAACTGTAATAAAAACAGATGGGAAGCAAAAAGAACAGAAACACATCAAAGATGCTCTCCGAAACTGTGGATATCCAAACTGGGCTTTTATCAAATCAGCAAGGAAATCCAAAAGACACGCAACAGAAGACAGCGATGGGAAAATTAAACGCAAAAACATCACAATCCCTTATGTTGCTGGAGTGTCTGAAAAGCTCAAGAGGATTTTCTCCAAACACAAGATCCCAGTACATTTCAAGCCAAACCAAACCCTTAAACAGAGGCTAGTGCATCCTAAAGATAAAACCCCCAGACCGAGTATGAGCGGAGTGGTATATGCTGTTCAGTGCAGCGAGGAATGCTCTGATCTTTATATTGGCGAAACAAAACAACCTCTCCACAGACGCATGGCCCAACACAGAAGAGCGGCCGCCTCTGGACAAGACTCCGCAGTACACCTACACCTTATGGACAAAGGACATTCTTTTGAGGACCAGAATGTCCATATTCTGGATAAAGAAAATAGGTGGTTTGAAAGGGGCGTGAAGGAAGCCATCTATGTTAAGAGAGAAAAACCAACTTTAAACAGAGGTGGTGGACTCAGATTCCAGCTTCCAAAAACATACAATTCAATCATAGACATGATCCCTTCCAGATATCACCAAACCCCCCACCCCATCACAGAGGAACGAGGGACCTACCCGCCCCAGCCGGTGAACAATACCTCCTTAACGACCAACCCTTAACAATCATAGACAGGTTTCAGGTATTACAGGAGACAATCCCCCCCTTAATGGCTATCCCCCCTTTAACGACCGACCCCTAGAATCATAGACAGGTTCAGATATTACAGGCTAACGATGGAACTAACGACCCATTCATCGGTTACCATTGCATGTTTCCAAGCGATACAAGGCGTTGTCTATATAAGACTCAAACTCACTGCGGATCCAGACATTTGAATTGAGAAAGCTTCCTGGAGAGGTGGCGAAACGTCTTCAAATCTTGAAAACCAAGTCCAGTGGATATTTTTTGAATTTTTACGGAATGACTATGACCTGGATGACTGAGAACCTTCATCAGCGTTAGTTAAGTTGCTTCAGCCTGTTCTTCATGTTACAAAGCCTCTCAAACTGCTTCACATTCTTGTTTTATAGACGTTAACTAGAGTTTCACTAATAATACTTACGGTTAGCATGTAAGTAAATGCAGGGGTAGCTGCTGGCAGTTGACTGACTGTACCAGTTGGTGTAGTAGAAATAATTACGGTCGATCCACATCCACTCACTCTGAAGATACAAAACATGCATGAGTTACTACTTTCTCTGTCATGTATTCTTGTAGAAAGAGAACTATATTTAGCAGCAGATGGAGAGTTTGATGTGTAAATAATAATAATAAGTTCTGGTGGAGACCTGCAGGTAGAATCCTCCCAGCCATGCATAGGTCTGACTCTCCGCTTGGGCCAAATCATGGAGGTAGTTTTTCTGTCTTGGGTTGGTGACTGAAGCCAGATGGGCTTCCAGCTCATTGCAGTACTCCTAAAAGACACAGAAGGTAAAGAGATCAAGCTTTTTGTGCATTGTAACTTTGGAGACATTTAATTGTAGATTATTTTCTATCTTTCACAATTACAAAAAAGTTACACCTCTTCAAATTGTTCAAGTCCACAATTACAAATGCTCTCTGAGTGTTGGGTTCATAAATGTAGGTTTGCAAAAGAAGAACTGAAATACACAGTAAGGGATTTTTCATACGGCTTCTGCAGAAGGAGAGACAGTTGAGGATTGATGTTACCTCTGCATCGAACCAGGACTTAGAAGAGTGGATCAACTTATAGCAGCGGGATTCAAAGGTAGACCAACCAGCTGGACAGACGCTGAAATGAGCTGCAGGACATGGAGAAAAAACATGAAGTGTTGCTTCGATTATTGGATGATTACACTTTGACATTGGTGGAGCTATGAAGAGCATTAGAATAGCATTTTATCATCAACCTGTTAAAACAGAACAGACTAAATCTACTGAGCATCATTTAAACCAAAGCCTTCCCTCCATGACTGTCAGCGCTAACTACAGAGAGCTCATTAGATTTACTACTACTGGAAAACAGTTTGACCAACAGCTTCCCACATTTGACCGGCTGCTCTAAAGGAAAACCATTGGATGATATTTACCCCATTTACACTACCCTTGAAAAACCGTGCCGAGACCGGTCCGAGCTCAGTAACTGAGATAACTTATGGTGTGTGAATGGAAAGCAAACTGAACTGAACCGAGCTAGACACAACCGGACCAAGCTAGACACAACCGGACCGAGCTAGACACAACCGGACCGAGCTAGACACAACCGGACCGAGCTAGACACAACCGGACCGAGCTAGACACAACCGGATCAAGCTAGACACAACCGGACCGAGCTAGACACAACCGGACCGAGCTAGACACAACCGGACCGAGCTAGACACAACCGGACCGAGCTAGACACAACCGGACCGAGCTAGACACAACCGGACCGCGCTAACTGCAGACCAGTTCCAGAGGTGGGCTCGGCTCGGTTTTTTCCTGGATCGGTTCTCTGATAACAAGAGCGCATGAGCAGAACGCGTCATCTCCGTCTGGCTGCACATCACCATTCACACTCCATTCCACTAGTTGGCGGTAATGCCCCTCCAGAAACAGAAGAAGAAGAACAACTTCTTCTTCAACTATAAACAACAATCAAAATCTTCCACATGCAACATTTTAAATAATAACACCGAAGTACAGCAATAATAATCAAGCATAATTTTCTGAATGTGACGGGCGCCGCCATTTCTATTTGCTTGATTCCCGCCTTCTTCGTCTTCTTCTTCTTGTGTTTTATGGCGGTTGGCAAACAACTTTTGGTGCATTACCACCACCAACTGCTTGATTTCCTCCTATACTGGCAGTAATACCGCAGATCGTCACTAGGAGGCGAGGAGTCGAGGAACGGAGATAGCGTGATGCGTAAACGGTCGTCAGAACCGAGCTGGGCCTGGTTAACTGATCCGAGCTCGGACCGGTCTCGGCATGGATCGGTTTTTCCAGGGTCGTGTAAACGGGGTAATAAAGTGGAAGAGAACAGATTCCACTGACCCTGTTCAGGAGCGCTTTCCTCTGCTTGGACATCTAACGCTGCTTCTGTAGAGAAAACCAAATGTTGAAAGCAGAATTATTGGATGTAACAGGGTCACTGTTAGTGTGTTTCAGCCTAAAGGAAAACAACTAGATGGTAAAAACTAAATCAGAGCAGATTTCAGACCTGGTTCAGCTTCAGTTTCCTCTGCTTGGACATCTAATGCTGCTTCTACAAAGAAATAAGAAGCAAATGTTGAAGTCAGACACATTAGACGTTCCAGTGTGACTGTTAGCGTGTTCTCAGTCTGCAGGAAAACAACTTGATGGTAAAAACTGAACCAGAAATGATTCCACAGACCTGGTTCAGCAGCGGTTTCCAGGGTTTGGACATCCAGTGCTGCTTCTAGAGAGAAATCAAATCCAAACCTTGAAATCTGACAGATTTAGATGACATCACAGTGTCACTGTCAAGGTGTTTTTGGCCAAATGATACTGACCTAAAGGCTTCTGTTCTTCAGCAGGAGCTTCAGAGAAAATCAGGGAGAACAGTTAGTTCATGATCAATTCTAGAAGGCTGTTAATAGACCAATATAATCCATCACTGAGGGCATGTTTGCATGCAGACCTGAAAATGCAGCACAGAGAAGAACCGAAAGGAGCAAAAGAGTCTTCATGATGATGATGATGATGGTTAATCACTATTTCTACGAAGAAAAAGACAAGTTTGTGTTAAAATACATGATATCAAAGTTAAACTAATTCAAGCTCAGCATGTAAAAGTCTCACCGCTCTGATGAAGATGAGTCACTGTTTAGTTCTCAGGAGGCTAAGAAGTGACAACAGCAGACGGCCGACTCCTTTATAAAGACAAACAAACCCCATTGGATGATATATTAATGAGGGCGGGACATTCAGCAGGTCCTCACTAATGTTTAGAAGTGACGCACAATTTTATCATCATGTTGTTCTTTTTCCTGGCAGTGCAATTTATTTATGGAAAGTACTTCTCTTTATAATGTTGTTATCTAGAAATACGGAGGCCGGAGTGCAAAGTTTAAACATTTATTATTGGTCTTAAAGTTGGACTGTAGTTCTTATTACCCCCATTCTAACATTGTGCACAGGTTTGAAGAGTCTGGATCCATGCTGCTCATCAGCAGCACCAAATTCCTGGGGGTGAACATCACAGACACCCTCAGCTGGAAACACCAGGATGAGGATGAGGAGAGCCCACCACTGGTTTATATATGTGGAGGACACATTCTTCAAAATCCAGCTAAAAGCAGTGGAAGCTTTCATAAGACACATCAACTGGGTTGACCAGAACATCCAGTTCACCAGAGAGGACGCCAACCACAACCAGCTACCTTGTCTGGACTGTTTGGTGAGCATGAAAGGAGATGGAAACCTCAACATTGAAGTCTATAGGAAATCCACTCACACAGACCAATATCTTCTTTTTGACTCACCCCCCCCCACTGGAACACAAACTTTCAGTCATCAGAACCTTCCAACAGCGGGCCGAGCATGTCGCTACTAAAACAGAAGCACAAAGAACAGAAACACATAGATGCTCTCCAAACCTGTGGAGACCCAAACTGGCCGTTTGTCAAATCATCAAGGAAATCCAAAAGACACGCAGCAGAACATAACGATGAGAAGATTAAACGCATAAACATCCCATATGTTGCTGGAGTCTCTGAAAAACTCAACAGCATTTTCTTCAAACACAAACTCCCAGAACATAGAGTTGATTCCTTCCCTGCTGTCATGGAAGCCCTCATCACTATGCAGGGGACCAAAACATCTGGCCTGGTCAGCCAGGCCAACAATGACCCTAACCACTCCCTTTTCAGAGGCATAGGCCAGTATCGGGTACTGCAGACCAACAAAGACCTCAACGACTCCCCATTACTAAGGGCTGGACCTGTTCTTTCTGTTCAATCTGCATGTTTTCTAAACCATAACAAGGCTTTGTTGGGCTACTGTCTAAAGCCTGGAACTCAACGCTAATCCAGACATTAGGAATAGAAAAAGCTTCCTGGATGGAAGAGAAACGTCTTCATACTTGGAAACAAAGTCCAGTGGATTGTTTTTTTTTTACTTTTTTGGGAGTAAATTTAAAAGCAACTTTTAAAGTGAGAATAAATGATTGCTCATAATGTTCTTAATATTTGCCATTATGGATGGATGATGGATTCAGAGTGAATGAGGGATCAGAACCACACTAACACACATGTAGATCCACTCAGAGTCTCTACCTGCAGAAAGGGATTTCTCTTATTTAAGAGGATCTTTATTTGGACGCCACAGCAGACAATTCTGAACTCTGCTAGTTTCAGCTTTACAGCTATTTATTACATTTACCAACAATAACCCAAAACCCTTTGCTGGAAGTCATTGAAATGTTTCTGGCTTGTAGCTTTTCTTTCCCCTGAAACAATAAAACTCAACACGTTTCTGGCATCTTTCCAGCTGGCTAACCTGTCAGCATCAGACTGATATAAACTTGATTTATTTTTATTATACTCATGAAATATAAACTAGTGTGTCGCCAACTCCTTCAAACTAGTGCCAGAGCTGTAATGTTGGTACCAAGGTTTCTAACCCACATGCAGAACACACGGACTCAGAGGGAAAAGTTCAACACTTTATTTAGATACACAATGTTAATAAAGAACTGATTCGGTGGGAAACAGGTCCAAGACTGGTCACGACTGGTTTCTCTGCAGAGAGGGACAGAATGGTTAGCTGATGTCCAAGTGTGCTTGCTGGTTGAATGAGTGCAGGTCCAACCGGTTCAGTGGTTTGAGTTGAGCAGCAGAGGAGGGGAACCAGGAGGGTCCAGAGGCAGAAGGCAGGCAGAGGGCTTGGTAGAGGCAGAGCTTGATTTCTGATATTGCAGTTTCTGATCTGAGTTTCCCTTCCAGTTTCTTCTGAGAGCAGGCAGGCAGGTTACTGACAGATTGACTTTCCACGGTTCTTCGGAGATCAGACAGGCTGGTTTCAGACTGAGAAACACTCTGGCACTGGAGTGTTGCTCTGCCTCTCCTTAAATGCTGGTCTCCTGATGAGCAAACGAGCCGCAGGTGTGGTAGTCAGCTTCAGCTCCAGGAGACCTAGGGCGCCCTCTGCTGGTGAAAGGTGGACAGACCTCCAGATCCCAACAGTACCCCCCCCCTCAACGACTGCCTCCTGGCGGTCCAGAAGAAGTAGATGGCAGACACTCACTGTAGTCGTCGATCAAAGAGGGATCCAAAATGAAGGATCCCGGAACCCAAGTGCGGTCCTCTGGGCCGTAGCCCTCCCAGTCGACCAGGTACTGCCAACCAAGGCCCCGGCGACGGGAGTCCACGATCAGGCGAACGGTGAAGGCAGGGTGACCGTCAATGTCCCAGGCGGGTGGAGGGGAGTCGGACGGAGGGCAAAGACGGCTGGTCAGGACAGGTTTAATCTGTGAAACGTGGAAGGTGGGATGAATCCGGAGAGAGGATGGCAGATGCAGGCGGACGGCAGACGGGTTGATGACTGAGGCGATTTTGTAGGGACCAATGAACCTGGGGGAGAGTTTGCGGGACATGGATTTGAGTGGAATATCATGGGTAGAAAGCCAAACCTGTTGTCCGGGTGTGTAGATGGGAGCAGGGCGTCTTTTACGGTCTGAGAATTTTTTGTTCTGAGCAGATGTCCGGTTCAGGGCTGAGATGGTTTCCTTCCAGATTTTTTGGCAGCGGCGGATGTGATGACTGACGGATGGAACAGAGATCTCTTTCTCAACGGCGGGGAACAGGGGTGGCTGATAACCTAAGGATGCTTGGAAAGGAGACAGACCGGTTGCAGATGACTTGTGAGTGTTATGGGCATACTCAACCCAGGGGAGAAATTGGCTCCAGTCAGTCGGGTTGGTTGATGTAAAGCAGCGAAGGGTGGATTCCAGTTCCTGGTTCATTCTTTCGGTTTGACCATTGGATTGAGGGTGGTAACCTGAGGAGAGTGATATTTTTGTGTCAAGAGCTGAGTAGAAGTGTTTCCAGATCTGAGCTGTGAACTGAGGGCCTCTGTCGGACAGGATCTCCTGAGGGATGCCATGGAGTCGGAATACGTGTTTGACTAATAGTTGAGCTGTTTGGAAAGCAGTTGGGAGCTTCCTGAAGGGGACAAGATAGCAGGTCTTAGAAAAACGGTCAATGATTGTAAATATTGTTGTCATACCCTTGGAGACCGGCAGGCCAGTTACAAAATCCACTGCTTTGTGGGACCAGGGACGAGATGGAGCAGGTAACGGGTGAAGCAGACCAGAGGGAGGCTGATGAGATGGTTTGTTTCTGGCCCAGACTGGACAAGCTAGTACGTATTCCTTCACGTCCTTATGGAGGGACGGCCACCAGAAATGGCGAGTGATAAGAGCAATGGTTCTGCTTATACCTGGATGAGCTGAGAATTTGGCTGAATGCATCCAGTGAATGAGACGAGATCTGACAGAAGTGGGTACATACGTCCGATTGGGTGGTCCATTTCCTGGGTCAGGTTCAGAAGCTTGGGCCAAATTGATCAGGTCGGTGATCTCCCAGGAAACGGTTGCCACGGTACAGCTAGCAGGAAGAACGGAATCCGGTGTTTCAGGCTTGTCAGGTGAATACAGGCGAGAGAGAGTGTCAGGTTTGATATTTTTGGATCCGGGTCTGTAAGAAATAATCAGGTTGAAGCCAGAAAAGAACAGAGACCAACAGGACTGACAGGGATTGGACCTCTTGACAGATTGGATATATGATAAACTCTTATGGTCGGTCCATACCAACACGGGATGCTCTGCGCCCTCCAGCCAATGCCGCCATTCTTCCAGAGCCAATTTGATAGCCAGAAGTTCCTTATCGCCAACATCGTAAGTTTGCTCAGCTGGTGAAAGCCTGCGAGAGAAGAAGGCGCATGGGTGAGTGTTATGATCAGAGTCAGATTGTTGGGATAAAACTGCTCCCACTCCAGAGTCAGATGCATCCACCTCCAGAATAAACTGCTTGGAGGGGTCAGGTTGGATGAGAATGGGTGCACTGGAAAAAAGAGCCTTGAGTTTATTGAATGCAGCCTCAGCCTCAGCAGACCAGTGGAAAGTTCTTTTGATGGATGTCTAGGCAGCGAGAGGCTGAGCTGTCTGACTGTAATTTCTGATAAATCTCCTGTAAAAGTTTGCAAAACCCAGAAACCTTTGCAGTTGCTTGTGATTCTCGGGGGTAGGCCAGTCCAGAACTGCTTTGATCTTGTCCTCTGATGGCTTCACCTGCCCGCCCTCCAGCACAAATCCTAGAAAGGTGACAGAAGTTTGGTGAAACTCACATTTTTCGGCCTTGACAAAATGTTTGTTTTCGAGAAGTCTTTGGAGAACCAAACGAACATGTTTCTTGTGATCTGACAGATTCTTGGAGTATATCAGGATGTCGTCAATGGAAACAAAAACAAAGATGTTAAGAAAATATCTTAACACGTCGTTAACCAGGGCTTGGAAACAGGCAGGAGCGTTAGTCAGACCAAAAGGCATAACCAGATACTCAAATTGGCCTAACGGGGTTTTGAAAGCCGTCTTCCACTCATCTCCCTCTCTTATTCTGAGGAGATGGTAGGCATTTCTTAAATCCAACTTGGTGAAAACAGTGGCCCCTTGAACGGGTTCAAAAGCTGATGCTAGCAGAGGCAAGGGATACTTGTTTTTAATTGTTATTTGGTTCAGTCCTCTGTAATCAATACATGGTCGAAGAGATCCATCCTTTTTTCCCACAAAAAAGAAACCGGCACCAAGAGGGGATGAGGAAGGCCGAATAATCCCGGCGGCTAAGGACTCATTAATGTATTTCTCGATGGTTTC